CTGGCGCTCCTCTCGCCCCGCCCACTCCGCCGCGCAGTTGGCTGGCGCGGCCGGTGATGCTAGGAGCGACGCGGGAGAGTCCTTAAAGGGCCAGGCGCTCCCGGATGAGTCCGGCTCCCGGTGTTTGCTTCCCGGATCTCCCGGGGCGGTCAGCCCCCCCCGCCGTCTTCTGGGGTGTATTGTGGGCAGGGGTCTCCCCGACACCCTTACAGAGCCTGGAGCTGGGTCTGGGGCTCAGACCACCAGTGCCCCGGGCTAGGCCAGGCCAACAGACCCATTGCAAGTTGGAAAGACTGAGGCCACCGTCACAGGACGAGTCCCAGGCCTCTGCTCCAGCCATTAGGCCCTGCTGCCCTGGCAGAGGGAGACCCCGGGGGTCCGGCCCACAAAGCCGAGGCCCCTTCTCCATCTGGCCCCTCTTGGGATTGCGTGTGCGGACAAGCTGGATGTGCAGCATGGGGGGCAAGGGAGCACGCAAAGCGCCTGGGCCGGGACCTGGCCGAGGCTTTGCTCCAGTTGGGGTCGGGCATTGCGGAGCAGCCCCCTGCCTGGCCCCTGCCCTTCCAGGGACCCACCCCATCAAGCATCCGGGGTTAGGAGTGAGGCCCCCGACCCCATCCCAGCACGGGGCCAAGGGTGTCAGGCACCCGCTGGGGCCAAGAGCTCAGGTGGGCCCAGAATGGGGCTGGGGCCTTTACGCCAGAGCTGGAATTGGGATGTGCTGTCAGTGTGCGTGTGTGTTAGGGTGTCTGCACGTGTGTCTGCGTGTGGGCACGTGTGTGTGGGTGCGTGTGTGTATGTGCGCGTGCAAACATGCAGGGGCCTGGCAGAGGTGGCAAAGCAGCTGCCAACCGGCTGCCACTTCCTGCCAACACCTGGGCTGGTGTCGTCCCTGCAATGAGGTGTCTGTGCCTGGTGCCAGCTCCGCACCCAGAATCCCTCCCGCCCAAGCAGCAGTGTTACTCCCCCACCTCCCCCCAGTCAGGTCCAGTCCAGTCCAGTCCAGTCCAGTCCCTCTGACCCAGGTCCCCGGGGATGTAACCAGTCCCATCCCTTTCACTCCAGGCTCAGATCAGTCTTAGGCTCCCTGGGCCGAGGCAGGTCCTCTGGTCGGGGAACCCCCACCTCAGCCCAGGTGCAGCCCATGACCCCATGCCAGAGCAGCCACAGCCCAGCCACGCAGCGGGGGGCACCTGGGCCCGGGACCCAGGATGGAGGTGTGCGCTGAAGATACAGTCATGGGTCTGAGCTGGCCACGGCTGCAACTCCCACGGCTCCTGGAGCAGCCATTGCCCGGGTCCCCGTGTCTCCAACTGAGGAGCTGAGCAGGGACAGGGCAGTGGGCACCTCTGTCCTTCATGGCCTGGATCAGGGAGGCGGCTGCTGGGGGCAAAGGCTCAAGTGTCAGCTGGTGCCTGGGTGCCCCTGAGGCTGTCACTCCTGCTCACGAGGAGAGGAAGCGCCATGCCCCCCCCCCCCAATTCCTGCTTCTGCGTAGAAGGGAAAACCCCCATCGTCCTAGCAACCCAAACTTGTGACTCGACCTCACCCCCCCATTTGGGGGCATCTGGAAGGTGATGCCCATGGAGGGGCGGGGCTATGCAAATCAGGGCCCCTTCTTAGCTGGGGAGACCGGCAGGCTTTGCCTCTGCAAAGAGGGTCTCCTGTGGGTGCGAGGGTCTGGCCGGGATGTGGACGAGCGGGTGCTTCCTGGCAGTCTGGGCCCTCCTGGGGGCGGCCACAGCTCAGCGTGGTGAGTGGGATCCAAGCCCAGGGGCTCCCTGGGGAGCTGGGGGTGGGGGGTTCTGTCTCGCCCGTTGTGGGGTCTGGCCCCTCTGCACCTCGCTCTGGACCCATGGGCACCAGGGCTGCGATGGGGAAAGGCCCACTCTTGTGCCCTGCCCAGGCTCCGCATGTGCATGCGTGTGCTGGGGGGGGTCTCTGCAGGGTCTGCAATGGGGCAGGGAGCTGGTGTCAGGGCTGCACAGGCTGGAGGGAGAGACAGACCTGGGGGTGCCCAGGATGGTGCCGCCTCCCAGTGCTCCCCACAAGGGATAGACCCAGCCTCAGCCCCCTTGGGACTTGGACAGACGGATTAATAGGGTGCCCCCCAAAGCTGAGCCACGTGGGCGCCAGATTCCAGACTCCGCTAATCCCTGCAGGGGCCCAGCGCCAGGACCGAGTGGGTGACACAGGGGGAGGGCGGGCAGCATGCACGCCTGTGCGTGTCCCTGCTAAGAGCTCGGGGTGGCCCTGCTCCCAGGGGCTGATGCCCACGGGGGGAGGAGGGAGGGGAGCTGGCCACCCTGGCAGTGCTGCAGCCCCTGCCCCAGGCCAAGCTGCCCTTGGGGGACTTCTCTCCTCCAGGTTCCCCCTGGACCCCCCAGGCACCCCCCCGACTGCCCCCCAGTTCTCACCTGTGTTGGGGGGGGGGGCGCAGCTGGGCCCCGCGCCTGGCAGGGGTACAGCCAGGGACTTGCCCCCTTTCCTAGAACCCCCAGTGCCTTGGCTGCCGGACCCCGACGTAGACGGGGAAACTGAGGCACAACAGGACTATGTGGGGGCGGTCACCTGGGGGTCAGCGGTGAGGGAGGCTGACGGGAGAACCCAGGTATCCCTGCTTCCAGCCCCCTCCGGATAATGGGCCAGGGCCCATTCCCCACGCGCCGCACTGCACACAGACCTCCAGAGGGGGGCGGCCTTCTCCCCCGCCCCCCCGCCCCCCAATCGTGGTCTGGGGTAGGAGTCGGCACCGGCTCAGCTGAGAGTCACATGAAAGGGCTTGGGCAGGATCTGGAGCCATGTGACGGGGCTTTGCCTGGCGCCCCCCTCCTCCCCCATCACATGCTCCCCAACGTGCGGGGCTGGGCCCAGGGCCATGGGAGGGACATGATGGGGCGGTGGGGGGATGTGATGCTAATGCTAATGCCTCGGCAGCACCCCCAGCTCCAGCCTCCAGGGGTGGGGGCCTGGCCTCACATGGCAGCCAGGCCCATGGCTGGGGACAGCAGCCCCAACCCCGCTTGCCCCGTGGGTTTCTACCCACTTGACTCCCATGAATGAAGAACCCAGGCATCCTGGCTCCATGCTCCTGCCTCTGGGGGTCAGAGCTGCCTCTGGTGCTGGGGGGGGCTTCTCCCCCTGCCCCTGCCTGCTGCCCCCACCCACTCAGCTGCCCCCCACCCACTCTGCGTCTCTCCAGGGCCTGGCGGTAGGAACCGAGGCAGCGACCGGGGCGGCCGCCAGCCCCTGGGCTACAGGTCCTGGAACAGCCAGCTCTACCCCCACGGGCCGAGGGGGGACACCCAGCAGCGGGACTGCTGGAGAGGTGAGTCCTGGGGTGGGACCTGCCAAGCCCGACCTGGGCTGAGCCCCAGCGGCAAGGATGGAGGGGTGGGGGAACCAGGGCGGGGGCAGCTGCAGGTTGGTAATGGGGAGCCCTGGGGGAGCCGGGGCTGTGGGTCATGGGCTGGGGGTGGAGGGTGCAGCAGCATGGAGCTGGCCTGGGGTGGGGGTAATGGGAGGGGGCAACCTCCCACGTGCCCCCCGGGCCTGACCCTCTGCCCGCAGGCGGTGACGTGACCTTTGAGGTCACCAACGATGCCCCCACCATGACGGGCGCCAAGCCAACATTTGCCATCGCCCTGCGCTTCCCCAGCAACCAGACGGTGCTACCCGATGGCCGTGTCGTGTGGAGCCGCAACTGCACTGTCAATGGTGAGGGAGGGCCCCTGCCTGGCACCCGTCCCGGACCAGCTGCTGCATGGTGCCTGGTTCCAGGGAATGGGTAGGTCCCCCCCACTGTGCGGCACTAACCCCCCCTCGCTCTGGCAGGGACCTGGGTGCGCCAGGGTGACGCCGTGTTCCCGGAGATGCTGCCTGAGGGCACGGCTGGCACCTTCCCCGACGGGCAGCCCTTTCCCCGCAGCGCCTGGGGCGGCCGCAGCAAGTTCGTCTATGTCTGGTGGACCTGGGGTGAGTCCCCTGGGCACTCCTGGCCTCACAGGGCCGCCAGCTGCCCCCTTGGCCCAAGCCTCACCAGGTTCAGACCCAGCTGTGGTCCCACCTGCACTCTGGAGGAGGACAGGACTGGGGAGGCTAAAGTGCAGGGAAAGTACCTCTGGAAGAGCTGGGAGAGAACTCAGGTGTCCGGGCTGCCTGCTGGCCCCTGTTCTGCTCCTGGCAGTGGGGAGAGAACCAGGCTCCCAGCCCCTCTGCTCTTATGCTCTAGACCCCACTCCCCTCCCGGCGCTGGGAAAGAACCCAGCCCCCCTGCTCTCACCCACCAGCCCCCACCGTCCTCCCAGAGCTGGGAGAGGACCCAGCCATCTGGGCTCCCTAATCCACACCCCTCCTGCACTGGGAGAAAACCCAGGTGCCCAGGCTCCCAGGCCCTGCTCTGACCGCTAGACTGCACTGCTCTGAGAGCTGGGACTGATGCGTGTCCCTGCAGGGC